TTTCTGCCGATATAAAATATTATCTTAGTCGTATCACGAAAAAGTCTATATAATATAAAATATAATATCGTAGCAAGAGGCTGGGCTGCTCCGCACCGTCCATCTGCAAGCTAAAGGACGATAGCGACAGCAGGCACCAGAGAAGCGGGCGAGCTCCCTGACGGGGAGGATGCACGGCGAGCTGCCACAGCGGAAGAGGCAGTGGCCCAGCATCATCGACCAGTCAACGCCTGCGTAGCAGTTGGGCGTGATGCACTCCTCGGAGACGACGAGCGCCAACGTCAGGCGCCGCGGGGACTGGGACCGGGACCGCGCGTGCATGGTGCTCCGGGCGAGGTCCACGGCGACGAGCACGGTGGCGCATCCCATCCCGGAGAGGTTGTAGGCCACGACGTCGTCGCGCATGCCATGCGCGCGCACGATCCGGGACGCGAGCGACGACGCCGGGTGGAATGTGCTGACATTGACGACCAGCACGTCGACGTCACGGGGGCCGAGGCCGAGGCTCATCTGCACGCCCTGGCGAACAGCTCCGCCACGGTGGCGTGGAAGAAGGCGTCCATCTCGTCGAGGCGATCCCGTGGGTGGGGGCTGTGCTCGCGGCCAGCCATGACCGCGGCAGCGCGCCAGAGCTGGTCATCCACGTCACGCCCGCCAGCCAGGTGCGTGTGTGGCACGCACGCTGCGCTGCCGACGCGCGTGCCCGCCATCGCTAGGCGGCCTCGCTGATCTCGCCGATGGCGGCACGGTCATCGTTGTCGGCGCCATCGATATCGTCGTCATCACGTCACGAATACGATCGATCAGACGTCGTCGTCCGTCCGTCTTGAAGAAGCCCCTGGCGAGGCCAAGTGTGGCACTGGCCGCAGCTTATCGGCGACAATGACGAAGCAACAACAACAAGCGGCAGCTGCAGCGGGGCGGGTCGTCGTCGTCGTCATCGTCGGCGAATTAAATCGTCGTTCGGGCCGGCATCGACGGCGGGCGACAACAACAACAGCAAGCAAGCTGCGGCGGGGGGCAGAGCAGCAGGGGCGCCGGAGCAAGCAGCAGCAGGAGCATGCGGCGAGCAGCAAGCAGGAGCAATAGCAAACAGCAAGCAGCCGCCGGAGGAAGCCACACCTGCACGCCCACATGGCCAGGGCATCATGCCACGTCAGCACGAGAAGCCAACGTGGAGAGGTATGGACCTAAGTGATACGGCGTACAAAGTTTATGGACCCAAAAAGCCACTTTGGAAGTTGATGGACCTAACCGAAACCTCCTCACAAGTTAATGGACCTCTGGTGCATTTTAACTCTAAAATTAATAAGGAAAGAAAGGCTTGACAGATTGATCAACTGTAGAAACTTGATCAGTAAGCACAAGCAATATATGTGGACATGAGAATACACCATTTATCATTTTTCACATGTTCAAAACAAACAACAAATACTGATAAGTAGTAGGAGATGGAGAAATTATAGTAAGAAACATAAAAACACTCAAATTTTGTGTGAATATGCAATACTGAAATAGTGAAATCTACTGGAAAAGGCAAGAAAAAAGATTGTAGGTTTGCTCCACTAATGAGCCCATAAAAAACTGAAAATTTGGTGCGATTGTATTTCTACCCTGAGCAAAAATTTGTTTAGCAATATAGTTAACCAATTATGGCAAACAATCGCAAATAAAGAGTGACTTTTTCAGTTGTCTCATAGCACTATTGTAATTTGTATATAATAGAAATACAGAACCAAATTAGGTCAGGACCACCATCTTTTATTTAGGCTTCATCAGAAATTCAGAAGCATATTATGTTAATATGAACTTTTGGAAACAAAAGATAATGCTATTTCAAATCTGGAACCTGACAAAATATGCAACTGAAAGTTTTTTTTTGGACAACGGCAAGGAATTTCCTTCAAAGCATGAACCTGTTTTTTTTTTTTTGAACAAACATGAACCTGTATTTGCAATTAAGAAAATGCATTCATTTGATATAATAAAGTTGTTGCAATAGTATATGAATTTGTTGAAATTAGCAGTGCAACTAGCAAAGTACAGGATGGAATATCCTTCCATAAGTTACAATTATTTTCAGAAGTAGACTCCCTCTCCTCTCTCCTAGTTTCTTTTGCTTCTGCGGAGTGCAGTTTCTCCTGCCCTCTTGCTGGCCATGTTGTTTAGTTCTTTTGAACCTCTCTTTGTACATTTTTTTTTCTTTTTTTTTCTCGAACACGCAGGAGAGCTGCGTATCATTTCATTAAAAGGAGAAGAAAGAGTCATACATAGACCCAGACACACACGCACGCACCTCCTAAAAACTTGATAAACTGATCACCTGAAAATTTTAAAAGAAATGACCGGACCAAAACAAACAGCCCCTAAGAGGCCCTTCGCTCCTGCCAAACACCATAACTCGGCTTCTTCCTTTGCAAGGAGCAGCGCCGTGTCCAGTCTGAGGGTGGCTCCGTTGAAAACACAATCATTTCTGTCTTCAAATGGTCCATGCACCAAGCGTGATGAGGGTGTTCAACCCTTTCCTTCTGTCACCGTCTACAGCAGCTTCTGCTTTCATCCACCAGTCCTCCCAGGAGAGTTCTGTTGTTTGTGGGGTGAGAATAGAGAGTCCAACACGATGCAAAAGAGAATAGAAAAATTGTCTTGCAAACACACAACCAATGAGAAGGTGCTGAATGTCCTCATCTTCTTGGTCACACAATGGGCATTTGCTTGGATGGGGAAGGCCACGCCGGGCCAATCTATCTGCTGTCTTTTTCTTTTTTTCATAAATAATAAAAAGCTCTTATAGTGGGGGTCTCCCTTGCTGTATTTTCGGGTAAAAAAGATTTTGTACAGTGTGTAAATGCTAAGGAAGGATAGAAAAAAACAAAACAAAAAGAAAAGGCAAGATAGCAACATATTATGCCAATTTGTAAAGGCAAATACTTGTGTGTACCATAAAGCTATATGCTAACTTAAAATTACCAAGGTTTTTTCATTAATTAATTTTAGTGTGATGCGAATCAAAATTGGATAATATGAAATAGAATTGTAGTACAATACTTTAATGCTAACTGTTGCATGTGTTGAAACATTATTTGTTCTTCCAGGATGACTGGCTAGTGCAATCTTTTACCCTAAAATAGTTCTCAAAGAAGGACCATTGTTTAGTGTTTACAATGGTGGCAGTTCTGCATTTGCTGAACACTTATCGTACTAGTTTCATTCTAATAGGATGCTTCAAATGGTTCATATTGTCAGTTCCCTGGTCTTTGCAGCGATATAGCAAATTAAATAATGAAGAAAAGAGTATTTCTACCAGAATATGACAAAGAGCTACAGAGTTGCAGTGAAGACATTGGTAACTCTCAGATATATAGGGAGAAGACTGTTGACTGGAAGTGTGCTTACCTGTGTTGAGCACTTGAGCAACTTCATAGTATATCAACCCTATATGGAGAATGGCGCCCCCCAAAGTGGAAGATAGAAAGTTATCAGTTGTAGAAGCTGCAGAAAGTTATCAGTTGTAGGAGCTGCAAGTAAGCACATTTAAATGAAAGAACTTCCAATATTCTGACAAAGTAAGGATTTCTGTTGGTAAAGCTATGCAAATTGTATTTTTCCTTTCTCTAATATAAAAACAGCTATATTTTGTAATCATACATTTCACAAGTGTGGCAGAACCCACAAACATAAATGTGAAGCCTTTTTTGTAGGTTACTGTATAACAGCAAGAACTATGATGAGCAAGTGGTCAAACCATGTTGAGTTACTGGTGCTCTGAATTACTATGGTCAGTTGTTTACAGGGGAGGTTGTTGCTAAATCTACATTGATGGATCCAATTTTCTATAATCACATCATCACGGTAACTGAACATGAAACCGGCCTTCTAGATAAAAAAAGAAGGTACAAATGTCTTATCTATCCTTTAACCTTTGTGCCCCTGGATGTATTTGTTCTCAGCACCTAGCAGCCAACAAAGCTACCTGCAGGCTGCAGTGTAGGTCTAAAAATTGGACGCAACTATATGGCCCTAGGAGGTAACATAAATTAATTGACAAACTTCAAAAGTACACTGCTGAGAAATGAAACTTCCATCACCTTTCATGAACCCTTTTCTTTCAACAGAAAACTAAACAATTGTGGAAAAGTGGCCAAAACAAAATTTAACCATGTTCAAGAAAAACAAATTTCAATTGAAGCTAGTCAAAAGAGAGAGAGGGAAAAATGCATATAGAGCTACAAGGATTCAGGACTTAATGCCTTTATATTTTTCTTCCATGTAAAGGTAACAGTGACATGTTACTTTTAAATAAACAAAGACTCACAAATTATGATTGAACAGGGATAGGCACCAACTCTGCATCCAAGGAAATAATTAATAATGAAGGAATGATCACGCTGAAGCAAGAACAGAAAATACAAGCAGCATAGAACAATCATCCCAGTAATTCAACTTAGGATCGTCGCAGCACAGTTGAAATTTGAAGTTGCGCTACCCAGTTTCTCAAGAATATTCATATATTTGGTCACCCAACCAAACCAGCAAACCGATGTTAGCATTATGATTTGTGAAGCAGACATTTGATTGACACATCAAGTATCCAGCACCCAAAAATAACACCAGATGTTCCTGAGCAGAAATATATTAAAAGCATAATTTCACAACAGCACTTACTATTCGGGATTCGCGAAAAGCAATCAAAATCATAGGAGAGAAGCTACAGAGAACCTATGAAATCCAAACGTAGAATAAAATACACAATAAAAGGGGTAAAAGAAACAACCAACAACAACCTTGACACAAACACTGAGGACCTGATAACTTAACAAGTACATACCAGTACTGCGACAATTCAGTTTACTTTCCACAAAACATGTCTACCACAGAGGAGGATACATATCAACAGAAGATAGCTTGGTTCTGGATACATGAATAGGTTAAGCTAAGCAGAACACCCTAGAAGTTGACAGATTTGCCCTTGCAGTCTTGAGATTCAGGGAAGATCCTTCCTAAAGAAGGTCGGGAATAGCAGCAGGGTCAAGCTCATAGAAGCCACAGAGCTTGCCACCATTCTCTTTTGTCAGGCGGAATGATGGTATCCGATGAGAAAACCTCAGGTTCTCTTTCCTTGGTACCTCCAGTGCTCCTTTCTGCACATCAGGCTTGAACACAGAGAAGTGGCCATCAACTTTGGTCAGGAAAGCAAACAGAGTGGTAGTTCCAGTGCACATCCTGATCTCGCCAATGGCATACTTGGAAGGACGATATTTACTGGAAGGAACCCAGTCGGGTGCCCAGTTCTTGTAGATGGCCCAGACCTCACCTACCTTTGGAAGAATATTGATCTGATGCTTTGTACCAATTTCCCACCTGCTTACCACTAAATGAGAGAAAGCACAGGTTTCACAATACTCAGTTGTTGAATTCTGGATCACAAATTCACCACAGCTCACAGGGATGTCCTGCTCCAACCAATGCTTATCTACCCCCTGAGGAAAAGTCTCGAGCCAGGTCAACTGTACTTTGAATGGTTCCTTCTCAACTTTGTTTATCCAACCATAGATGTTGGGAAATGTATCAGTACTGCTGTAGAGAGCCCAAATTTGCCCACGCTCAAACTTCTCGCACGAGCGGTCTTGGACGAAATTGTAGAATTCAGAATCAGGATATGCAATACTGATAAACTCAGTAACTTTTTCCTTGTTGAGATCGATGAAAGAATCCAGAGTAATGGAAGGAAACACTGTGGCTAAGTCACAAGGAAGAGCAGCAGTATCCAGTTCCAGTAACCCTCCTACACCTACCTTTTCAGTTCCATTTGTTTTATAATAAGGTATACTGTGAGAAAATCGAAGTAGCTGACTCGATGGTATCAAAATATGGGTTTTATCCTTGGGCTCCGCAAATAGGCTCACAAAGCCTTCAATTTTGACCAACGGGAAAACGATAATACCAACACTCGTTGAATCATCAGAAACTTCCACAACATCAAAGTCAACAGATTGATGATTATCTTTGTAAAGAGCCCATATCTCGCCTTTCTTAGGATGAATTTCAAATGAAGTCCTATTTTTGCCTGCTACCCATGAAACTTTGTGAGATAAGTACATGGATGGGTCTTCTAGTACACATGTCTCTCCTAAGCGGAAGTTTCCACGTGCAACAGGCAATTCTTTACGAGTCCATCTGGTCTCTGGTAAATTCGTTGTGTTGTGTTCCAGCCAAGTCAACTGAACATTATTGTTGGAAGCATCGACGTGATTTATCTGAGCATAATTTCTCGGCATGCAATCATGATCATCATAAATTGCCCAGATTTGATTAACTGCTATCCTGTTAACTTTTCTTAATGTTCCGAAGTCAAAGAAATCTGAACGCTCATAGGTAATCACAGGATTATAATGCGTCTCATTAGCAATATCCGTCCCATCCTTCTTGTACTTTTGCTGACTGCCTTCTTGTGTTGCATTTCCCTCGTCTTGGCTGTCCAATGTGCTGGGAACAGGTTCAACAGCTTGATTTTCACCAGCAGCAACATTATCACTACACACTTTATCATCAGTTGAATTAGTGTCAGCAAGTGAATTGTCCTTCCTTTGTCTGTCATTGTTACAAGGGTCCCTGCTGCGGATGCTACCAGTAGTGCAGCCATAGGCAATCCCAGGATTGCCATGCGTCTGATTAGCAATATCTGTAGCTTCCTCCTTGTACTTTTTCTGACTACCTTCATGCGTTGCATTTCCTTCACCTTGGCTGTCCATGGTGTCAGAAACATGTTTGGCAGCTTGAGTGTTAGCAACAGCAACATCATCATTATACATTTTATCAGCAGTGGAATTAGCATCAGAAAGTGAACTATCCTTACTTCGCCTCTTATTGATACAAGAGTCCCTACTATGGCCTCTGTCAGCACAATCATCATGCTTCCTCTTGCCAAACATCTGAAGATTGCATGACCCTGCAGCATTTGGCACTATAGATGCATCCTCTCTACCAAAGTTCTGGTTGACAACAACATCAGAAGCAGGAGACTCTAACATCTTACTTCCAGTTGCACCTTTGTCTACAGAAGGTGATGAAGTGTGAGATTGGTTTACTGCTGAACACTGAACTACATTACTTCTTGTCTCTGAATTACCTTTCACATGGACACCTGAGATTCCAACCCACATTATATGTTCCTCAGTACATTTGGAATCCACTGTTGGTTCGGAATCCATGCTCCCTCCTGTAGAACGAAGCTCTGTGTACTGTATCAGTTGATCAGGGACACCGCATTGTTGATGTGAAACCATTTGTAGTGAAACTTGAGAATTATCAGGTGCAACTGACAGGAATCTCGAGGGCACAGCCTGCTCACTCAACTTAAACGCAAAGAAATTTTTGCCACAGTCAACACACATGGCCAAAAAGTTACGCTGGTAGTAGACAAATCGCTTCTGACAGTGTGGACATGCAGTCCAGAAAACAATTGCACAATCATATGGTTGTACATGTCTAGCCCCACTTCTTTTTCCAAGAGTTATGTCTGATAGCCCAGCAGTCTGTCTTTCGATGTCATAGCGAGATCGCTTCACATGATCAGACAATATCAGATGAGCTTCTGAAACCAACTTGAAAGCAGCTTCAGCACCAGGCAGAGTATTTTTGTTGGGATGAAGCAAAAATGCAAGTTCATCATATTTCTTCCTTATCACAGTGTCATCCGCTGTTACCTGTACTTGAAGGATACCATACCAGTCCAACTGCCTGTTGATCTTTGCCTCAGCCGCACAGTACACTTTGCAGACAGTTAACAACTGGGATAAGTTCTCCAGCTCTGGATAAAGCCTTTGAGCCTGAAGTGCAACCCTTTGGGCACCAGAAAATTCTCTTTTCTCCAACTTCTTTAAAGCAATTCTTCTAGCCCTTATGGCTTCTTCTCTATTGCATTCCATCATGCTATCTTGCAATTTATCCCAAACAATTTTCACATTTATGCAATAATCAGGTCCTGCATGTATAAAAAAAATAATGTTGTTGGTAACAAAAATATCCCAAAGACTTAGCCTTAGATAGGAGTGCTTGGAAAACAGCTATTCACGTGCCTGAACCTTGATTGCTTCTGCTGGGTTTCAACTCTAGCCTACCCCAACTTGTTTGGGACTTAAAGACTTTGTTGTTGTTGTTGTTGTTGTTGGTAACAAAAATATGCGCCTCTGACAAAAGCTATAGATGAACCTGACAATTACACAAGGATACTACTATCATGGATATATAACAACATTAACCACACACATGAATTAAGAATTCAGAGTAGATGAAAATACATTTAAGTTTACTACTAGCAGAATTGGACATGAGTACATGACATAACAGACGAAAGCAATAAAGCACAGACAACAGTTCAGGTGTAAGCCTTGTAACCGTGACATTTCATTGGACTGGAGCTAGCCAGATATAACCTAAAATAGTAACTAAATCTTGAACTGACTATGCCATTAGCCCATTACTTGTTTCTTGCAGTGATTTGATCCAAATTCTTTTACACTTCTATCAACACAAAAGGTATGATTTACTCGCCATTTCTTGTCTAATCAAGTTAGCCAGCTCCGATGCAGGTACTGTTGAATAATGAATACGAATAGTCGCAGGTGACAGATGCGCAGAAAAGCTAGATATCACACAAACCACAGTAAACAGTCTTAGATCTGGCCATCGCATACACAGACATAAAACCCAATAAGAACAGGTACATGAAACAGAGATCCGAAACACCAATGTCTTGTATCAGGTAAAGACTTATTAGTAGTGGGCGCCTAGCCAAACCCAGCAACTCCTGCCGCAACCGCAACTCTGCCACCTCTTCACAATCGATTAAAATATACAGCATGTTAAAGGTGTTCCATTTCTTAATGCAGGAGTCAAGAAGTTCAGACACGAGATGCAGAAAGCCCCACCATCCGTGACTTAACTCACGAAAAAAATTGCAACTTGCCCGCAGAGATCACTGCCTCTTCACAATCGATTAAAATAATGGCAAGCATGTGGGGCCGCAGCTGCATAAATCTAGCATCACCATCAACACTAATCCCCAGAATCCAACCGGATTAGGCGGCATTAACCCTCCAACGCGACTAAAAAACGGAAATCTTTCTCTCAACGACCGGCCGGACAGGTCCCACGGGGCGAATGCGTGACCCGCGACCATTAGGCCAGCCTCGCGCGAGCGATCCAAGAAAGGGGACAAGGGGCGGGGTTAACTAACCCGAGCAGAGAGGTGCGCCTGAGGCCCTGAGCTTGGTGACTGGGGAGGACGGAGGGAGGCCGGCGACGAGTCGCCCGGCGTCGGGGGCGGCGGGTGGATCGGTGGACTGGGGAGCGGCCGAGTGGTTGCGCCAGTGTTGAATGCGTTCACCTTGGAGCTGGACGCTCCGTGCGGCCCCACCTGGAGAGACACAGACTGCCTGGCTGAGAGCTCGCCTGGAAGGTGGAAGCTGCCTGTGTGCCATTTGGATGAAGCCCTGAGAATCTTCCTGAGCCAGGCAGTAGCACGAGCACCAGGCATAGGATAACGGTAGCCTGGCTCAGGCACCTTGATTTGCCTGCACTAATTACATACTGAACTAGTATTTTTTTATTGCTAATGGTCACTTAATGAAGCTCATAAAACAATGTTTACAGAATGAAACACTATTTGCCTACTTTATTTCCTTTTTCTGGGAGACTATTGTATTATACCATACTAATATATTTTCTTTCATAGTGTTTTTTAGAGCTATTTTCTTTTGAATGTGAACCAGGAAAATAATATTAGTTCTAAAAAATTGCTATTATTAGCGAAAAATGAAATAACAAAAAAATACTGCAATATTAGTACTTTTCTCTCTCTCTCTCTCATATTAGGATGCAAAGCATAATTAAGTTATTAAGTACAATTAGTACTTTTTATTAAATTATTCTTTAGTTAATCAAGAAAAAATAATATTAATCTAAATCAACTAGTTTCTTAATCAAGCTATATAAGTATCTGTTAATCCCACATCATAGATATTTTAATACACATCCACGCCATGTATACCCTCTTATTAATGTTCTTAGGCATAGATCTCCAATCAAACAACATTTTTCAGATTTGTTTGGCCCGACAAGCATAACTAACTTTCTAGGCAACTCCTAGTCAATATTTTCTTCCAGATGACTTCTCTTGGTTTCCATCCAAACAGGCACAGAGTGTGCGAGAGCGATAGCGAGCGAGGAACAGCAAGAAATAGGAAAAATGATGTTTGATGTCTCTATATAAATAAACGCCATTGTGTGTGTTTTGGATTATTCTAATTCTCTGTTTGGTAACCGAAAATTGTGATATCACTTTATGTTTCCAATTTTACTAGCGTGACATCGATTTTCATATAAAATGTACTCATTCGATCCCAAACAAAATGCACATTAAGTTTTTTAAGAGTTAAATTCTTTTAGATTTAACTAGTTATATAGAAAATAGTATCAACTATCTATATCTCTAAATAATTTTATTATAAAAGTGTATTCCACGAACATTGTAATGATATTTATTTTACACATCATAAAATATTATATTTTTTTGTATATATTTGGTCAAATTTATATAAAAAAACTTACTCCTCGATAAGTAAGTACTTTTAGCATTTAAGATTTGTCAACAAATAACAAGCATTTATTGTCTACTTACATTGCATCATCCAGGATGATTCATCCCCTACTTTAATTTGGGCAAAATTTGCTACAGGCCGCTGAAAGTGAGGTTGCTTTGCCGGTTGATGATATAAAAAAAAATCGATTTGCTGATGGACACTCCAGTTTGTGTCAAATCTGCTGGAGGATACTAAACGCATTGCCAGGAGGCGATAGAACAACTATGAAATGTTGTTTTTGCTCCTGACACTTTCTTCTTTCTCCTTCCCTCTCTATTGTCCTCCGTCGTGGTCATGGATGACACCATGGGCATCCTCCTCGACTCGTCGTTCAACCCATACGCCGGCGCCGTCAACTTCCTCCTTGCCTCCTACGCGTTCTGGCTGCTAGCGTGCTCAGGCTCGCCTTGACTCCATTGGAGGGTACATGCGAGCGTACCCAATGGGTATAGCCACCAGTCAGGGACGAAGCCAGAAAAAAATCTAGGAGGGGCTGAACAAAAGAATAGAGGTTTTTTTATCTTCTCTTAACCTTAGTCCCTCCTACCTAATATATATATGCATAAATTTTGGGAGGGCTCCACGTGCCTAGGATAGGTAGGGGAGGCTAGAGCCCCCCTAGCCCCACCGCTGCCTCCGTCGCTGCCACCAGTTGATGTATAGCTTGATTTAAATATCACTGCTATAATGATGTTGGTACCAAGATTCCCACCAAATCAGTCGTCACAAAACTTCATTTCGCCAAATATGACATCGACACATCATTGTACGTTCTAATGTCCTAGCTTCCTTCATATGGCGGTGGAGGAAGTTCCCAGCCCATACAAAAGCGCAACTATTTTCCTGAGCCGTGTGAAGATGAGTAAATAAAAAATATACGCATTTATAGTCTTATAGATGTGCACCCAGAAGACCGCACATGCATGATAAAGCATGGCACGGCTAGATAGTAGCCACGGACAAGAAAGGCATGACTAGTAATCTGTACCGTACCGTGCCGGGCGTCGTGCAAAGGCAAGGGCCTAGGCACGGTCTTTCTTGGCCTTTCGCCGCGCCGTGCTAGCACGATAGGGATGACACGATGTGGCCATGACCATGGCCGTGCCAGCCCGAGCACGACAGCCATTAGAACACAAATCCACTCAATCAGTTCCAATTAAAATGATATCAATAAAAAAACACACGTCCTACATTTCAGTTGCCTCAAATTGTAGGAGACGTGTTCAGGTGACTCCTCCCCTTCCTTCCTGAATGTGTCTTTCTCCTCTTCCTCATCTCCAGCGACCCTAGAAAAAAGGAGGGGCCTGGGGGCGGCCGGCCGGGCAGGCAGTGGTGGCGGGTTGACCGGCGACGAGCGAGGCGGCGGGGTAGGACTCATATGGATGGGAAGTGCCAGCAGCGAGGGCGAGGGCTCGATGGCGTGGTCACGGGATTGGGGTCGGCATGGTGGCGGCGGTTAGTGGGCGGCGAGGTAGGTCGGCGGCGGGTCTTGCTGGTGCGGACGTGTGGTCACAAGGAGAGCGAGTTCGTGGGATTGGGATCACGGGAGGGCGGGGATGCCGCGGCGGTGGTGGTTGGTGGGCAGCGCGGGAGCCGCTGGCTGGGGTGGCGGGTTGGGCTATGAAGTGGCGAGCTGAGGAAGATAAACAATGCACCATGATCTTTAGCCGTTAGATCATCATCCAGTGGCTCATGTTCATTGCCTGAGAAAAGGGGGAAAACAAGCACCTCAAGTATAGCTAATCCCATAAAAAACATCAAGATTACATATCCTCATAAATCAATCATAAGTACATGTTCATAGACTCCATAGATCAACCATTCAATCATAAACCAACATAACATAACTCGCTGTGGGGAATCACATATCAACTCGTTGGACGGTGCTCACCATCGTCACTTGCCCACGTAGGCACATGTCTGCTACCGTCGCCACCTGCTATTGCCCACTTGTAGTCATTGAAGGGGTACGGTGTCGGGCCATCGGAGGAAAAAAGGCGAGGCTTCTGGAAACCAAGTAGGGGCTAGGGAAAAAGGGAGTGGTCGGTGACTGTTGAAAGGGAGAGTGTAGCCAGGACGGATGGTGTAGAGTACAACTAAAAAGGAGAGTGTAGTTGGAGCGAGGAATCGGGAAGAGGGCGAGCAACACCAAAATGGGCATATGGGGGGACTGGCCAAGAGGTCGATTTTGATTTGTATTGTAGGAGGTAGGCCTTTAGTGGCCCACATTCGTACCAGTGTTGTAGGCCAAAGTGGTGGCCCAAGCATGGTACTAGGCAATGGAT